CAATCATGAACAATGAACCATCAGAAATAAAAATGTGAAAAAACGAAAAATTATTTTAAAAGAAATACTAATTTCAGTAATCTCCTGTGTCTATCAATCTACACATAAGTTTTATATTATGTCTACATAAATATTTACATTATACATATTTACAAAAATCTTATTTTATTATATGTTAGTTTGGTGTTGATTTTTAATTTAATTTTTTTTTCTCTACCAAATACTCCTTGATATACGTCCACTAAGTCACTTGTTAAATGCTTATTATATAATTATATATTTTTCACTTTTAAAAAAAAGACTTTTATATATCTACTTCAAGATTTTATGCTTATTCAACTTTTTATTAATTGTAGTTATTGGAAGTTGAAAACGTGCATTTTTATAATACTATTAAGTTAGAAAATATATATTGTATATTACACACTACATGTTAAATTTAGTAAAACTGATTAAAGGTAAAATTTTGTATGTTCTATAATCAGATTGTTTATTTGTGGTGAATTTATTTATTTTTGTAAAACCGAACTCGTTGATTGTAAGAAAGGTCAATATGACATAAATCTGCAAGTTCTGCTTCAATTCAATACTCTCTCTATCTATCTCTCTCTCTCTCTCTCTCTCTCTCTCTCTCTCTCTCTGACGTCAGTATCTCGCTTTCTTTCTCTCTGAAGCTCGCTCTTAGTTTCTCTCTTTTTATCTCTTTCTCTCTCTCTCTCTNTATCTCTATCTATCTATCAATCAATCAATCTCTCTCTCTCTCTCTCTCTCTCTCTCTCTCTCTCTCTCTATCTATCTATCTATCTATCTATCTATCTATCTTTCTATCTATCTATTTACCTATCTATCTATCTATCTACCTATCTATCTAACTATCTATCTATCAATTAATCTGTCTCTATCTCTATCTCTCTCCCTCTCTCCCCTCCCCCTCTCTTTGCTCTTCATTTGCGAGGTTTTTAATTAAAATGATATTCATTGATTTATTCTATCTTCCTGTCTATTTTCTCTTTAAAAAAAAAATATATATATACATATATAGGAATTATCTATCTCTAGCTATTCATCAATCTATCTGTGTCTAGTTTGTAACGGAAACTTCAATTTTTTAGGAATTCAAAGTTAATTGTACATTGGGGATAACCAAAAAATTGCGAATATATGTTTACACTTCATTACTAGAGGTAGATTTAGTAATATTTTCATTTAAGTAAACGGTTTTCCTGAAGGATTCACATTTTATCAGAAAGAGATGATTTTGTGGAATGAAGTTGTGAAAATTTGAAGCAACTTTCGAAGTGAAATATCTTGAATTGAGAATAATCGGACTTTAAACTTTGTAGTTCAATTTCCAACAAGTCCTCCTGATATTAGTATTCGTATATTCACAGGACAACCCTACGCAAAAATGGAGAGAGACAAAGAGAGAAAGAGAGAGAGCGAGAGTGAACAAGCGAGAGGGAGAAAGAGAAAAGATTATAAAGAAATAAAAAACGCAAAACTTAATAATAATAACAGGATATTTTTCGCACGGAATGATAAATTAATCAAAATAAATTCCGTTTGATATGGAAAATTCCATATGCCGGAGGCCAATGAATACATCAACAATACAATAATAAAACGTTTTAAGATAATTATGAAAACAAGCAATTACCTCGGTAATAACAAACAATACAAATATTACCTTGCTCAACTACCTTTTAATTTATTAACCTATAAAGACAAAAGTAAAATTCATTCACATTTAGCAAAATAAGAACAAGAAAAAAAATATTCAACTTAAATTACACAACGTTTGAGTTCATTTGCATAAGAGAAGATTTCTTAACATCTAGTTAGTTTTATCTCTATCGAACATTTACTTTAACAATTGTTTTTATTAAACAAGGCATGGAGGTCGGATCCGGTTGGTTAGACATCCCGAGAGACGACACTGAAGAGAATGCATTAGCCGAATTATACGGGTATAATTAAAACTTTGTTACAGCTTTGACATACCTCCTCATCCCACTGGCATATTATATACGTGTACGGAGTTACACCAGACGTGGAAGAACACCTGCTTTCATAAGTTATGTCCCAGAGTTTTACACCAACCCCTAAACGGAGCCGAGAACACCATCCGCCGTGCGGTTTCTGAAAGTTTCATCAGTTCCCCTTGATCTGGTGTCGCCGCTGTTTATAGCAAGTGAGCTGGTGAAAATTTTATCGGTCATTTTAGGTCTTCAAATGCTCAAAGATGAGGTAAACAAAACTTATTTAAAAAAAAGCAAAGAAATGCGAGCTGTTTAAATATCGCACTAAATGCCATTTTTGCATAAAAAATGAAAATGTGAAGCGATTGGAAACTTAAATTTAATGATTATGTGAAGATCATGACTGCGATCTGGTGTGACGTAGGCTTTAGAAAAACATTTTCTTTATCATGCCAACGCTTCGATCTTTATTGAGACCATCATCAGGCCCTGGAATTTATAAATATTGTTTAAATTATACAAATACATGTGATGTGATGGATATGAAAAAATGAATTTATGCAATGCTAGAAATTTTAGGCTCAATCAAAGTATTTTTAGTCACTCATAGTGTTTGTTTTCTGTGTAACACAAATCCCAGGCTCTGAAGATGATATCAATAATGTTCGAAACGTTGGCACGATAACGAAAACGGTTTTTCTAAAACCTACGTCACACCATCTCACGATCTCCGAATAATCATTAACAGTCACTAAACGCCACACAATTTTACAAATACATGTCGAATGCGGAAAAAATGAATTTACACAATGCTAGAAATTTTAAATCCAATCAAAGTATTTATATTGAATTTAACATTTTTAGCATTGTATAAATTCATTTTTTTCACATCGTACATGTATTTGTAAAATTTAAACAATGTTTATAAGTCCCAGGCTCTGAAGATGATCTCAATAAAGATCGAAACGTTGGCACGATAAAAAAAAATGTTTTTCTAAAACCTACGTCACACCGGACGACATCTCACGGTCTCCGGATAATCATTAACTGTCACTAAACACCACACACTTGAATTTAATTATTTAAAAAAATATATTTACAGAAATGAAAAATTAACCTTGCTTAAGTTCACTAATTTTGTGGTCCGCTTGACCAATTAATATATTACAATTAATTAAGGTTTTAGTTGAAAAATGGCAAAAAGGAGGGAAAATTCAAAAGGTGGGGTTGAGATGGGAAGTTGGTATCCGAGTGGATCGAGGTCACGATAGCTCAAGTGGTAGAGCAGCGGCGTATCGAGCCGAAGATCGTGGGTTCAAATCCCGCTCGTGCCATTGACTTTTTTATCTCAACTAAAAACCTTAATTAATTGTAATTAATCTTTTTTCTCTTCAGTACAGAAATTAGGCAGAAGAAATGACATTACAACTATAAAAACTTCCTGCCAAAAATAATTTAATGTATTAAACTCTTATTTTCTCCGAATTTACTTTACTTGCTTATCAATTTAATAAAGAAAAGAGGAAGTGAGGATAGAGAGTGAGAGAGAGATTGACACACTCAATTCGAGAGAGGGAGAGTGCATGAGTAAGAAAAAATAAATACAGAGTAAAATAATGAAAAAGAAATAGAAAGGTACAGATAAATAAATAGATAGATAGATAGATAGATAGATAGATAGATAGATAGATAGATAGATAGAGAGAGAGAGAGAGAGAGAGAGAGAGAGAGAGAGAAATTGACACGCACACAGATAAAAAAAAAGAGAATACTTGTTTGAGTAAGTAAAAAAAATAGTGAAAATGATGGGGAGAGAAAGACAGAGAGAGAGAGAGTGTGTGGTAAGCTTCAAAAAGGTAGATATTTTAAACATTTAATATTAAGAATTCAGAAAGAAAAAGAGAGAGAGAGATTGACACACAAAACTAGTGAGTGGGAGAGTGTAAGAGTAGGAAAAAAAGGTTGCTAGAGAGTAAATTAGTGAAAAAGATATAGAAAAATATAGATAACTAGATTGATATAGATTGACGCACATAGGGATAGGAAAGGGGAGAGTGTGTTTGTGTGAGAGAGTAAAAAAGTTAGAGAATAAAATAATAAAAAGATTAGATAAATAGATGGAAGAGAGGGAAGGAGAGAAACAGAGTGTGTTATCAAACTTCAAGAAGGTAGATATTTTAAACATTTAATTTAATTTTCAGAATTTTTTTCTTTGATTCAATTTTGTAAGCGAGTTTCCACCGAGAAAAACGAGAAAAATAAGATAAAAAAGAAATGCATGAAGGGCAAAAATGAGTGAGTAAGAGAAACAATACGCCATGCTTCTTGTCCAAATATTTATCAGTGTAATGATAAAGTAACTATGCATTTACAAATAGAAATTTTCAACATGTTTGAGTATGGATATTTGTATAGAAGCTGTTTATATGATACAAATTCATATAAAGGTTTTCGTCAACTTTGACTGGAATCAATTTTTATATTATGAGGAACAAAAAATATTGACATAAATACAAGTCATGACTGACTTGTTTCATTAACCTGAATTAACCCCATAATCTGCTGGAGAAAAAGATATAGACAACATTTTAGGGTGAACTTAGTGAAGTATATTATTTACTCGTCAATTATTCGAGGAGCCAAACAGCTAAGACGGTGCAAGTATCCAAATGGTAAAAACTCATTTCACATTGTTAAATTGTTCAAACATTGAAATGAAGCTAATATTTATAGTTAAAAATGTAGGTATTACTTTGGCCTACTTAGCATATTTCGTCAACGTCAGTACCTCCGTAAATATAAAATTCACAAGCCAGGACATTTCTGACATTAGCGTTCGAACTTCAGAATTGGAAATGAGGGAAAAAGCCACCCTCATACCTAATTTGCCTCCCTCGCTCCTATCGAGTCGGGGGATTTACGATTCCCTTCGAAAAGAGTCATCATGATCAATTCACACAGTCCCATATGGAATTCTAACATGATTGATGAGCGCTGATGAGAGACGTTTTTGATTTGCAGATAAGCCGAGAAGACCCTTGCGACTTCTGCCTCTGCCTCGACGGAGAAGTTTTCTGCTGGTGGCAGCAACAGTGTCTCAACACGACTCAGCAGCAACAGCAACAACCGCAAGTCAACAATACGACAGGTAATCTATAACTTTCAATTAATTAAGGTTTTTAGTTGAAATGGAAAAAAAGTGACATGAGCGGGATTCGAACCCACGATCTTCGGCTAGATGCGCCGCCGCTCTACCATATAGTGACCTCGATCCACTCGGACACTAAATTCCAATCTCAACCCCACCTTTTGAATTTTCTCTCCTTTTTTGCCATTTTTCAAATATCTTGTAATCTATTTGATTCTCGGCGACAAATTAAATGGCCACGGAGAGATTTGGTGAATGTATACTTCATTTTTATTATTAAATTCACTATTTTTCGTGGTCCGTTTGACTAATTAATACCTTTCAATTAATTAAGGTTTTTAATTGAGATAAAGGATCGAGGTCACGATAGCTCAAGTGGGAGAGCAGCGGTGTATCTACTCGAGGATCGTGGGTTCGAATCCCGCTCGTGACACTGACTTTTTTATCTCAACTAAAAACCTTAATTAATTGATAGATATTATTTGGTCATTATTTGGACCAAGAAAAATAGTGAATTTAATAAGTAATCTATATCATTTTTATCTCTCTTTGTATTTTATTTTTCATCATTTACTTAGGGTCGTTAAAACCGTTAAAAAATATAAAAATTTTGATAAAATTTGTTTTAATTATGCCTTTATTGTGTCATTCAAATTCGAACGTTTTCTAGACGTTGACTTTTATCTGGGTTTGCTACGTGGTTTTGTTTTCAGCAAATATTTGCATATTTGATCGTATCAGTTGTTTAATCAAAATTGCAGTCTTGATTTTTTTTTTTGCTCTACCAAACCTATTTTTCCGAAAGTGCGGCTTCGGCACTTTTTCCCTAATCGTGATACCAGGAGCCGTCGGGGCCGGAGATTAAAAAAAGTGCCGGGTTTGAGAAGGTGAAGGAGATGCTTCAATGGATTTACTTTATACGCTCTTGCGACTTCTCAGATAATCGATTCTTGGAACGAGGACCTCACTTCATTCCTTCCGCCTTAAGTTCAAAGGACCCCGAGGGAGACCTAGCAAAATAATGTACCATAAAGGCCAAGGGTTAAAAAAATGAATAAACGCAGGGGTATTTTTAATGCTGACAGCTGTTATCATCATTACAGCAAGTCTAAGGGGGAGCTTATTCTCCCCGACTTCTTAATCCTTAAAAAGAACTTAACAACAACAAATCAATCATTTTAAAAACAACAAACATAATTATGAACGACATAAACTTCAATTTGGATTTAAAGATACCTGTGACGAGGTGTTTCATGATGTTTTCTTCTGCAAAAGTGTACAAATACCGTTTTGGACAAAGAGAATTTGAAACCCACATCGTCTTCTTTTCGTGACAATGTGTCAATGGCGTTTTGAAAAGTCCTTCCCACGTTTTGGAGATATTTTCCAGACAAGTAAAAGCAAAGATAATCGACATAGAAAGGCCTTACGATACGATCATCTATATTATCAGACCGTTTACCGCAATAGCAAATAAAGTGAGACTCAGAACCGAACCTTGAAGAATCCCGTTTTCTTGAATGAACATACTAGATAAATTATTCAGATATCGTGAGATGTGTTCGGGTGTGAAGTAGGTTTCAGAAAAACATTTTCTTTATCGTGCCAACGTTTCGATCTTTTATTGAGATCATCTTCAGGGCCTGGGATTTAGAAACAACGTTTACATTTAACAAATACATTTAGGATGTGGAAAAGTGAATTTATACAATGCAAAATGTATTGTATATTCAAACAAAGCAAAAACAGCAAAATCTCACTGGCACTCTCAACACGACACGCAAGGATGGCACAATTACNTGGTAAAGATGTTTGTAAATCCCAGGCCCTGAAGATGATCTCAATAAAAGATCGAAACGTTGGCACGATAAAGAAAATGTTTTTCTGAAACCTACATCACGCCTGAACACATCTCACGATATCTGAATAACTATCGATTAACGGTCACTAATCTCTACACAATACTAGATAAGGCAGTACCTAATCTCATCCGGAATCTCTCCATTTCGAGGAAGCTTTTTAAAAATTTAGCTATGTTCCCTCTTAAACCACAATCATAGTTTCTTAATAATACCAAATCTCCAGGCCGTGTCGTATGCTTTTTCCAGGTCGAAGAAGACTGCCAAAGCATGCTCTCTCTCTAATAAAGTGTTCTGAACAGCACTTTCAAGGAGCGCTACATGATCTTCAGAGCAAAAGTGCTTTCTAAACCCAGTTTGGTATTAACTGTACAGACCTTTTTTCTCAATAAACCAATTTAACCATTTGTTAATTATGGCTTCCAATGTCTTGCTGAGACATGATGTTAGACAAACAGATCTGTAATTTTCCGGGAGGCTAGGATCTTTACCCGGCTTAGCAATAGGTATCAGGACCGACTCCCTCCAGTGTTCAGGATAATATCCTGCACCCCATATTTCGTTAAATAAATCCAAAAGCTTTGTTTTTCCTTCTGGCGATAGATTTTAATCATGGAGTATGTGATTTAATCACTTCCCGGAGAAGATTCTTTCACCGAACTCAGAACAGGATCCAAAGTGAGGGGAGTGTTTCAAACTTCTTCTTCATCAGTTGCAAAATTTAAATCGTGTCTTTCTTCCTCCTCCTTTATCTGCCTGAAACGCTCCGAATACCAGCTGGAAATAGAAACAGATTCAAAACGACGAGCTATACGCTCCGCAATATGAAACGGTTCTGTTATGACCAACAATTACATATTATTTTCTTTTTAGCATAGCATAAAAATGAGACTGAGATGAAGACATTGATTAACATATATGTATTGCGATTCCCTCACATTAATAGAAAATTTAGAATATTTTAAGGCTTTTTTTTTTAAGTTACATCTCTCTCAACTCTTAGGGTGAAATGTTATGTTCAAAATTGTTGTTTTCAACCTATCCATTATAAGCCATAGTATGTTCGTGTTGACTTACAGTCCAAATAACCGAAGACCAAAAGCTAATATATGGCAAGACATGATTCTGTAGTTTAAAAACCGGAATCTTTTAGATTATTATGTATAACATTTTTTTAATAAGCAATAGTCTTTCTTTACGTTATAATAAACATAAATACACATTTACTTAACTTAGGTAATTGACTCTGTATCACATTACGATGATTAAATTTCATGAGAAGCTTTGTTTTTGAACAATGACTTGACACAAAGGTTATACATTCGGCATGGTTAATGGAATCCTTGTCCAATTGAGGAAAGAGTGAGTAGAGTACGAAACATCATTATTTTGAATCAATCCGACCAGAAAAAGAAGAGCTTTGGATACAATGATTATTTGGAGATCATGAGATGCGGTCTGGTGTGACATAGGTTGTAGAAAAAACATTTTTTTTATCGTGCCAACGTTTCGATCTTGAGAATTAATGTTTGTTTTCCGTGTAGATGTGTCATTCTTGTATGTCGTGTTGAGAGAGCCCTGAAGATGATCTCAATAAAGATCGAAACGTTGGCACGATAAAGAAAATGTTTTTCTAAAACCTACGTCACAACAGACCGCACCTCACGATCTCCAAATAATCATTGGCTAACTGTCACTAAACAACAAACATTGGATACAATTTAAATTAATTTAAAAAATTTAAAAAAAATTTAAAATTTAAATTTAAAAGAAAAGAATGGCAGGAGAGAAAGGTAGAAAACAAAGTGAGACAGTGTGAGTTATTAAAATAGGTGAATAGATTGATTCAGAAGATATGAAAATAGAAAATGTAAAGTATGTACTACTTACTCTAGAGTTAACTTGAGTTTTTCTCAGAAACACTCTACCAAAAAAAAATTAAATAGTATTTTAAAATTCACTAGTTTCGTGGTCCGCTTGATCAATTAATATTATACAATTAATTAAGGTTTTAAGTTGAGATAAAAAAGTCAATGCACGAGCGGGATTCGAACCCACGATCTTCGGCTTGATACGCCGCTGCTCTACGGCTTGAGCTATCATGACCTCGATCCACTCCGACACCAACTTCCCATCTCAACCACACCTTTTTGAATTTTCCCTCCTTTTTGCCATTTTTCAAATGTCGTAATCGGACTGGATTCTCGGCGACAAATGAAATGGCCACGGAGAGCTTTAGTGAAGTGGACTTCATTTCAATTCATTAAATTCACTATTTTTCGTGGTCCGCTTGACCAATTAATAACATTCAATTAATTAAGGTTTTTAAGTTGAGATAAAAATGGTTTTTTACTATGTGGCTACAATAAAACACTTATTATTATTATTAAAGGGCACCGCCCTTCTTTCCTCGCTAAAAAATATATAAAATAGTATTTCCTATTTATTTTTATTTTCCATTTGTTCAGTAAAATATTACATTTATTTATTACATTCGTAAATAGTATTCCAATCAAATTGAATATAAAAAGATATATTATCAATCCGAGGTTCAAATTTTTAATTTCTCTGGATCAAAGATACTTGAAACACACATGACACAAACCCAATATTAATATTTCGATAGGAATTAATCATTTAAAATATATAAATTTTCCGTCTTTTTTTTTGTAAATATACAAACTTTCTTTTTCAGGTCGTTTAATTAAAATCCGTATTATTTTTATTTTTAATCGGATTTGATTAAAGTTTCCCTTTTTAAATCATATTGTTTAGAGCAAACAGTGAAGTTCGGCCCCCCATTGCTTTTAGGAAATAGTGTGTTTTGTTTTAAAGAGGAACAGTTTATTTGATAAAATTTTGCTAAGTTTTTTAACCTCCCCACTTTATTTTAAATATTTGTTTGTTTCTTTTTTTTGCGCCGTTAGGTTGCTTAACATGATTTATGTTTTATATTCCTTTTCTCTTCAAAATCCATCTCCTTTACTGACTTGAAAAAGATCTTGTTCGCTTTCTGAATTCACATAAGGAAGGGGGCAAGAGAGAGCGAAAGTGTGTGTGAGAGAGAGGGAGTCAGTTTGGAAATGAGTTTTGTAAACAAATGGTTCGCCATTCAATTCAATTTGTAAAGTCTCCACCCCCCTCGCCGCTTCGCCGGTTTTATAAACGGACTTTCTGAAACAAATTGGACTAAATCTCAATTAATTCCAATGAATGTGCTCCAAATTAACGCGGTAATTTCATTAGTCACTCTTTCGCTCCATTAGGACTTTCTTTTATTTCAACTCGGAAACAAAAAAAGTAGATGAGAGTTTCAATTATTTACATATAAAATAAAACTGTTGAATAAGACGGGAAGATATGAACTTTTAGCCTTTGACATTACTTTTCACACTAGGGAATTTAGCCATAGCATTTGTTTTTCAAAATGTTAACACATTATTTTCATTGTTTTCCAATGCTATTATTGCTTCGAGGATATGCGGACACCAGATTGCAAGGGTATAATGTCATATTTCATTTATGTTCTTATACAACCGACATCATTTTCGGCGGATGAGTCACCAAAGGGTTTATACATCATCGGCACCTGTGCCCGTTTCTTTAATGCTTTCGGCAATTTCTTCCTCTTAAAACTAGAACTAAAGTAATATTGGGTATACGGGTGCGCCGAGGCGGGGCCAATTTGAAAATTGAAGTTTTAAGGGTTAACAGAAGTTGGGTAAGAAAGTAGTTCGAACAAAAGGTCTAGAACTGCCAACGACTTGATGTTTACGGCGTAAATTATATGATTCGAAATGGTTGTATGTACTATTTGTCCTAATAATCAAATCGGAGACATAACTTCAAGCCCAAATCGCTAAATCATAATTAAAATTTAGCAATAAAATGCAATTTACGTACTCAGATTTTTATTAAAAATTTAACGCGACTTCCATCCGCACAAGAGAATAATAATCATATACTTAAATAGATTTTGTGGGTTTTTCAAAACATACAATTTAAATACGTCTTAAAATGCGTTTAAAATTCTGTCAAGAACTTCTTTCCATTTTGAATGTGAAATCCTGTAAATTCTTTGCAAGCATTCACTCACTCTCTTTCACCCATTTACGCACATTTGCACGCATGTATCGCTCTTGCCTTCATATTCATTCTTTCTTTCTCTATCGCGGTCTGTAAGTACAGCTATTTTATTCTGTTTTTCTTCCTCCATCTGTCTTTCTGTCTGTCTGTCTCTTTCTCTCTCTCTCTCTCTCTCTCTCTCTCTCTCTCTCTCTCTCTCTCTCTCTTCGTCTATGTCCCTCTGTCCCCTTTCTCTCTCTCTCTGTTTCTCACTTTCTCTCTTTCTCTCTCTCTGTTTCTCACTTTCTCTCTTTCTCTCTCTCCTTCTCTCTTTTCTCTCTCAATCTGTCTGTCTTCTCTCTCTATCTCCTCTCTCTCTCTCTCTCTCTCTTTCTCTTACTCTTTTTATTTTTACCTCTCTGTCTCTGTCTGGCTGTATCTCTCTCTACTCTCTCTCTCTCTCTCTCTCTCTCTCTCTCTCTCTCTCTCTCTCTCTTCGTCTATGTCCCTCTGTCCCCTTTCTCTCTCTCTCTGTTTCTCACTTTCTCTCTTTCTCTCTCTCTGTTTCTCACTTTCTCTCTTTCTCTCTCTCCTTCTCTCTTTTCTCTCTCAATCTGTCTGTCTTCTCTCTCTATCTCCTCTCTCTCTCTCTCTCTCTCTTTCTCTTACTCTTTTTATTTTTACCTCTCTGTCTCTGTCTGGCTGTATCTCTCTCTACTTCTTTCTTTCTCGCTCGCTCTCACTCTCTCTTTTGTTCGCTCTTACTCATTCTCTTTTTCCTCTCTGTCTCTGACGTCTGTATCTCTCTTTCTTTCTCTCTCTAGCTCGCTCTTACTCTTTCTATTTTTATCTCTCTCCCTCCCTCTCTCTCACTCTCTGTCTCTCTCTCTCTCTGACCTCTGTATCTCTCTTTCTTTCTCTCTCTAGCTCGCTCTTACTCTTTCTATTTTTATCTCTCTCCCTCCCTCTCTCTCACTCTCTGTCTCTCTCTCTCTCTGACCTCTGTATCTCTCTTTCTTTCTCTCTGTTTTTGACGTCTGTATTTCTCTTTCTTTTTCTCCGTAGCTCGCTCTTACTCTTCCTCTTTTTATCTCCGTGTCTCTGTCTGACTGTTTGTCTGTATCTCTCTTTCTCTCTTCCCCCTTCCTTTCTTTGTCTTTCTCTCTCACCCTCTCACCTTCCTTGAAAGGACTTCAAATATTCGAAAAGTTAAAAAATATTTGTCATTGTGTTTAGATTAAGTTATTACTATTTGACCTCCTTCCGATCCCCTTATTATTAAATAAAAAATATTTTGTTATAAGTTGTCGCTAGACAATGTTAATGGATACGTTAAATACATATTTTGATGGAAACTACATGAAAAAATGCGTTCAATGGATAGTGTCGCTTTCTTTTTCAGGAAAATTTGGCTAGCACACATGTACACATTATATAAATTTATATGCCGTTCACAATTTGGTTTCATTCCGCTTAATTCGAGTAAATGTAGAGTTCCAATGGTTGTCAACGTTCTTCAACCACCTCCCCCTTCCGTAGTTACGTGATTTTCCCCATCACGTTAAACAACGTCGAATTTTCATTTCGCTTAAAAGCTTAATTTTTTACGAGGGTTCGATCAACAGAGATCATATCAACCCTCGAGGTGCCGGTGATTTTGGGGGAAAACAATTTGTAAGCGATCATTCTGTGAGGGTTTACATTTTCCAGCAGTGTGAAACAATGATATTAAAATTTGAAATTTTTCAAACATTTAAAAATTTTTATCTTTTGACGGCGTGCCAGGTACAAATTTTTCTAATTTTCGTACATGCCAATGAAACCTTAAAAGAAAATTTAGTGAACTTTTCAGTAAGGAGTCTTGGAACTATATAGGATTTGGTGAAAACAAAGCCAATATATGCTGGAAAAAACCGAAATTACAAAATATAGAAAACCGAACATGGTTTATATGGTATTATTTCTTCCGTTTTGGGGGTAGATTGTTTGGTGAAGTAAATGCATAGGGTAGAAAAACCTGTACACAATTATAAATCATGATACAAAGGTTAATCCAGACGACTAATGCTCCCATAGTTGTCTTAATCTTTTGTCTAAAACTTTTCGTTATTAAAACTGCCTCTATGGACCCTTCACAAAGAATTTATTAAGTTTTTACAAAATTATTTATATTATAATTCATTTCAGAGAGCGAGGAGTGGGTGGAGGAATCCAGCTACAACTCGACAAACACGCCTGCCCCTCAAGAAACGACATGTAGAGTAATGGGTGAGTATGAAATTAACATCTATAAATTATACTAAATTATTTTATTCACTAGGTTTCGTCGTCCACTTGAACAATTAATATCTTTCAATTAATTAAGGTTTTTAGTTGAGATAAAAAAGTCAATGTCGGGGATTCGAACCCACGACCTTCGGCTAGATACGCCGCTACTCTACCACTTGAGCTATCGTGACTTCGATCGACTCGGACACCAACTTCCCATCTCAACACCATCTTTTGAATTTTCCCAGTTCGAATCCCACTCGTGACATCGACTTTTTATCTCAACTAAAAACCTTAATTAATTGAAAAATCTAAATTATTTTGTTACTCTTAAACATAAACATTGGCAATTTAAATATGAAAAGATCAAATTGTGATTCCGTTATAACAATTTTTAAAAAAGCTGTGGTTAATTGAATACAAAGGATTTTCAAATGTTGAAACATTTGTATTTTTTAACATACAACTAAACAACAACATTAAACTATATTACAATTAATTAAGGTTTTTAGTTGAGTTAAAAAAGTCAGTGTCACGAGCGGGATTCGAACCCACGACCTTCGGCTAGATACGCCGCTGCTCTACCACTTGAACTATCGTGACCTCGATCCACTCGGACATCAACTTTCTATCTCAACCCCACCTTTTGAGTTTTCCCTTTTCAACATTCGGTATCTAGCCGAAAATCGTGGGGTCGAATCCCGCTCGTGCCACTGACTTTTTTATCTCAACTAACAACCTTAATTAAGTGTAATATATTAATTGGTCAAGCGGACCACGAAATTAGTGAATTTAATGAATTAAACCGTATGTTTTTTTTTAATTTTCACTGTAGATTTTATATCATAAAAAAAAATATATACGAGGTAAAAAAAGGTATGTGAGTAAAAATCACAAGCATTCGAAGAATTCTAGATATGACGGTCTGCCAATGTACACTGACAATATGTAGTACTTAAAACACCATCGTAACCATTTTTAATACCGCCCTGCATGATTTTCCTATAATCCTATTTCCAGAGGAATGAAGTGAAACATTAAGAGTCTTTGTGTCCGGACCGGTTTGGGCTTTACTTATTACGCCCCTCTGTTCTTGAGGAGAGAGGTTGAGGGCCTAAGAGGAAGAGAGAGAGAGAGAGAGAGAGAGAGAGAGAGATTTATTGATTTAGGCACCTTCCCCTTCTTCATCATTCCGAATTTTCTTATTTCCTTTCTGCCCCCAATTGGGTTTTTTCGTCGAGTCGGGCGTTAGATATACCGATTTCATTTCCTTTTAATTGACTCCTTCTTCTCCAAAACAAAAAGGAAACACATCAATTACAATTTTTTTTGATCGGAACAGGAAACCATTTGTTTTGGAATAATTGACAAATTGACCTTTGAAACGTCTCTGATTCATTCAGGCACTTTTGATAAATATTTGAACGGAGAAGGTACATCTCAATTGGCGACCTTATTTGAAAAGAATACTGCTCAAACTAAAAAACAAGATTTATAGATAGATTTTTAAACTATCCAAAATTAAGAGAAATAGAAACAACAATAAACTTTTTTTAACAAACAAAAAACAGCAAATATTTGATCCGTTATGTTATTTACGGATTCGAGATTTATAGTAAAAAGTCCATAGTTTGTTTTTTCAATGTTCAATAGTTCAAGTTTTAGGTCAATCAGACGACATGATCATTTATTGCTGGACAATTGATCAAACCTGATTGCTTTCTATATAAAATAGGCTTTCCTTCGGGGAGATAAACCTGTATAAACTTACACTTAATATATATAATAAATTAAAAAATTTAGGCGGTTCAGCCCACCGGGACGGATGGACCCGCTCATTGTACGTCCTTCCCAGGTCTACGAATGTTTGGACGAAGTACTAAGCGCCCCAAGCTTGCGAAGAGTACGATTATAACAACTCATTAAGTGGATATGGTGCGTTACGACCCGTGGGCGAGGAACGGTGAAGTGAAATACGGGCCATACTTTCATAACATCTCCAGTTACTCCTGCGACATGTGCTTGAGACGATGCAGCTGAAGAAGCAATGCAACCGTTGACCCAGTAAAGAACAGTGGCCAAGATTGGTCATAAAAGATCCTGGCATAAACCTACGTAAGGATCTTCCGACGTGGCAGCCGTTTTTTGTTAAGGAAGATAGACGCTGTAAGGTCTATAACCCGATAAGCCCAGTACTTACTAAGTAGTACTACTGCTTCTCATTGCGCTAAAGTCGACTCGATACTGTGAAGATGAGAATACTTTAAGCTGTTCAATGAGGCGGGATATGACCTGGGGCAGAGCGAAACCTAAGAAGTGACTTCTGCTCAACCACTTGCCTCATACACCGCCATAACGCATAAATGATTATTCTACTTGAGCCCTCTTCTCGTTTTACAACGAGTAGTTTTCGTTTTCAATGCTTGATGATAATGATGATGGGCTAGAAATGGGAATTATACATTCCCCAAGCACTGCAGACATCTGGCTTATTGTACTTTTCCTATTTGCTTGGTTCTGTTCTATTTATTCGGACTTTTTCTTAAAAAGTAATAGGTGCTTCACTATCATTGCTGCGATGCTTTTCCCGGGTCTTCTTGATACCCAAGGTTATGCCTTTCTTTAGCAGTTTCTTACTCCCCATCGCATAACAAACAAATGGGCTCATCATTGAATATACCGATGTTATGTAAGTTCTCAGACGACAGTGTCCCATATATGTAGCAGTGTTTGTCAGTTTTGGGAAAAGCACTCAGGCTTACCGCAGGTCCACGGTTGGATGAAATCCTTCGGGAAGCTGTACAGGACGTCCAGATAGAGACCTTAGAAACGTTGCTTCCAAAAATCTCTCTCTGTATTCATGCAATCGCGTTGTGAGACGAAGGAAGATAACATCGAGTACATTTAAAACCACAGATTAAGTTGTCACTTCTAGTACAGGAAGTGCTGAACAGTACATTATTCGGGTAAAGCTGTGTCGCTCATAGCAACAGAAGCCGGCCTCGCTTGCTCTGAGGGTTTCGTGTGAGTCATGTGGTATATGGATAGCATGGAAATGTATATATTAGCTAACGGGACTGTAGCAATGATCTCGGCCAGGGAACACTTACTCGAAGTGGAGTAGCAGAAGGAAGCTATTAGAGTAGAACAAGTGAAGAATATAATTATGCCATCTGTTCTTTAGGAGAAGCGGATGAAACCCTGAGATAGAGAGAGAGAAAGAGAGAAAGTTAAAGTAAGAGATAGAAAGAATCAATTTTCGAGGTCTCTTTTTAATCTGGCAGTTTTTTTTTTTTGGTTTTTTTTTTATATCAACCCTCCTGGGTGCCGGTGTTTTTGAAAAAAATCACATTTGTAAGTACGTCGGGTTCGAATGCAGGGCCGCTGGATTCGAACCCGGGACCTTTACCTTACAGTGATGAGTGCCGAGTCAACGCCTAACCCGTTGCGGCCACCGGCGCCCCTCTGATAGTTTTTATCATCAATTGGATTATCTTAAATCGTACAATTGGAAAAAAATTCCATTATTATCATTGCATAAATAGGGAAAAATTTTAAAAAACAGGTAATTACCCTAAACTTTTCATTTTTTTAAATTTAGTTGTGTTACCAAAACAACACAAGAAAAACCATATTATCGTTGTAGTCAATAATATCCCATTAACTACACTTTACGACACACAGTTAAAAATGACCTGTCTAAATCAGAACAAACTTAGAAAAATTAGGAAGGCTGAGCATGATTATTTAATCTATCAACAGAACTTACATAATTCTACGTTAATTTCAATTTATTAAAAATATTTTTCTTTGGAAAAGTTAAAAATAAAATTCTGGAGTTACCAGGATTGCAATAAATAAATAATTTTTACGAGTTGAGACGAGAGAAACTAGAATTTCAAGTATTCGACGAAAAATTGTAAATTAATTTGCATAAATTATAGTTAAAAATGATATAAAGTTGCATATTTCTTCTACAAATAATGATTATTTGTAATTCAAATAATTAAATGATTATTTAATCTATCAACAGAACTTACATAATTCTACGTTAATTTCAATTTATTAAAAATATTTTTCTTTGGAAAAGTTAAAAATAAAATTCTGGAGTTACCAGGATTGCAATAAATAAATAATTTTTACGAGTTGAGACGAGAGAAACTAGAATTTCAAGTATTCGACGAAAAATTGTAAATTAATTTGCATAAATTATAGTTAAAAATGATATAAAGTTGCATATTTCTTCTACAAATAATGATTATTTGTAATTCAAATAATTAAATGATTATTTAATCTATCAACAAAACTTACATAATTCTACGTTAATTTCAATTTATTAAAAATATTTTTCTTTGGAAAAGTTAAAAATAAAATTCTGGAGTTATCAGGATTGCAAGAAATAAATAATTTTTACTAGTTGAGACAAGAGAAACCAGAATTTCACGTATTCGACGAAAAATAAATTAATTAATTTGCATGAATTATAATTAAAAATTATATAAAATTTCATATTTCTTCTACAAATAATTCTGTTATTTATGTAATGAATATTATTTTTATACTAAATTTTTCTGTCCGCGTTTTCCGACTCAGTTCATGGAACATTAAGATAATGTAGGCATAATGGTGTCCTCGGAGATACTTTAATTCGATTCAGCGTCGTTTCCTGCCATCGTATAATCTGCAGACTGTAGGAAAGAGTGCAATTAATATCCTATCGTAAGATGTAAAGGGTCGCGTTCGGATGGCTCCGAGCCAAGGGCTTAATGTCTGAGGTGGGCAAACCATTTCCACCGTGTACTTAGCCGGTGAACAACACCGTGCCCGGAATAAAATATAATTTTCCCGGATCGATAAGTCGATGGCTCCCTTCCACCCTTTGTTTATCATCTGATTAAACGAACTGTGGCCCTTTTCGGCGGGCGCGCGCTACTGCTGAAGAAAGAGAAATAGCGGAATCAAAACAGAACATGTTTCGCCGTTCAATTACTTTAGCCCCG